AATGAACCCTGTAGTAAAGTGCTTCCCTCACACTTTGTGCCTTTTCTCTGGTATTCAAGTCGCGCTGAGTAGTTCTAGCTCGGGGGTTACGGAACTAGCTTAGGATCTGAATATAGCGTTCAACTTATAAGACGTAACATGGATATACGCTCTTATATTAGAGTTTCATTATAACTTCACTGCAGTTTCATTTTTAATTTATTCATAGCATTTAAACTTAAAAGGCATTTATTCTACACTCACTTAGAATCATATACGCCAACATGAACATCATACAATTTTTGGAATGAAAATGGCTATTATAAGTTATATTACATAGAAACATACATTTCAATTCACTAGAAGCTCGTAAAATGGCATAACATGGTGAGACTGGTGATTATTCAGTATAGCAGATAACATAATTTAGTAATTTAACGTTTCGTGCAATGATTAAACATCAGAACGTAGTAGATGCTAATCGCAACATTTTGTTTTGAACAATGTACAATTGTTATCTTTTAGGAAAAGTATAACAATCTTGGTAACTGAACAATAATTAACCAAACTATAAATAAACATTTCTAGAATGATAGAAATAGACTGTTTGAGTTTCGATTTATTCACCTAGATCTTTGACGTAAAGCTTAAACTGATTAACAGAACATTAGTTGGTAGAATTGATTAATTGGCTAAGTCACGGAATTCATTCACGTAAAAATAAATAATTAAGAGAAATTAAAACAAGAAATTGAAAAAAGTCAGGTTTCCAATCATGTTATTGTAAAATGATGAAAGTCTGTGTTAATGTATTCTGCAATTTCAGTGTATTAGGTACTTCTTGTTCTGTCCTAAATCAAAGTATATACTTACAAGTATAGACCTATACATATCTAAATCAGTTATTGAAGCTCCCTATATTGTAGTGTTAGCCCTACTATCAAATGACTTCAACTTGTATCGGTGATGAACAGAATTCCTAATAAATAGTTCAAAACATTGGTCTACTTCCCAACTTGAAATTATAATATTTTATGAAAATTAAACAAAAACAAGGATAAGAAGCTTCATCAAGTTAACTAGGCTACACTGAAAGTTTCAATATTCAATACTTTTACTACTTATATAGCAAGTGATCATAATCTATTCTAATTTTTTTAATAGTATATTTTCTTTGACTTGTAGCATGGCTAATTGTTTTTCCCCAACAACAAACAGTAGTGCAACAAACACACTTATTCTCACTATCTAAACCCTAAAGAAATGAGTGTTAAAAGTTTGTTGTATTGGTTTTTTGTTTTATTTTTTTGATGATTGATTTCACTCGTTTGCTTAAAAAAAGAAAACTGTTCGGGTCTTCACATTTTACATACCTAAATGGACTGACCAAACATTTAACATATATTTGTCATTTGTCTTTTAACAAAACTGACACTACATTTTACTAATAATGATGAAATTGAATTCACAGAGCTAGATGATTTGACTACAAAACAATCTTTGTCAGCGTGAACATAAAGGTGTGGACTTCAATTAGGAGTGAGCTTTAAGTGTTATATACTTTTAATTAACATAATTTAATGGACAGATTATTTCTTTTTTAATTTTCTACCAAACATTATATTCTGATTTAACCTCAGAATACTCAAAGTACAATCAACGTCTTTGTTATGCCGTCAGAAATAACTAAAAAACACTTTTAAATATTCGAAGATGGATAGTGGCTAGCAGTGGAATACAGGACCTGAAGTGGACATCAACTCTGTGATGCAGGTACATCCAGCTGACGAGTGCCGAATAGGACGAAACGCGCGTTCTATCCGCTATCCATCTTTGCTTAAAAAGCTTGTGACTTAAGGCAATATCGAGGCAATCCGCACAGGATGCACATATGCCAATAAGAGACCAATCAATTGCAGTGGGAAAATACAAACAAACAACACCAACTGAATTTCTACGTTTAAATAGTTTATTAATGTCTTCTATAGGGAAACTACGCTTCAAGCGAACAAGCATTTCATTTTTATTGTTCCTATTGTGTAATAACATGAGAATTTTTCCGGTGAATAAAAACTTCGCATTTACATTTTTACTTAAATACATAAGTTCATGGTTCTAAAAACCTACTTCACCATAAATAGAATAATATATTTGTAATACACAATGAGTATAAAAATTCGTTTTTTCTGACGTTTCGCGATGTCTTGACTCGAGCAGAAGAACATATTAGGCACACAAAGAAACCGCCTAATAATCCTGTTGAACTGAAGAGACTTCAAAGCAAATCAGTAATAGCTGTTCACACCATTTTCAATAACCGCTAAATCGATATCAAAAACATTAAAATATTACAAAAAGTTTTTCCCAACTCTAAAGAAAGGAAATTAGCTGAAGCTTTCCATATCATGCTTAATCCTACTGCTTTAAATAGAAAAGAAGGCCTCATTATACATCCAACTTGAGCCATCTGTCCAAGCTACCATGTCTGATATAATTCACAGTTCATACCTACCACTTCAACATACATCGTGATACATAATGGCTGACTGTAAGACAGAGTGGTTCAATCAGAAAACTTAATTTAATGGCTAGAATTTAAGTGGCTTTATATTAAATAAACACTTAGAAATCCGTTATTTCAAGATCACTGTAATTGTTATTTAGTTTACTGACACATTACAGCATTCAATGTAGACAAAAATTAATGAGAATATTTTAACAAACCTTTTGGCCAAATGACTTCATAAAAAGATTTATTGTTCATTTCATTTGTTTGAGTATAATTCTGAGTTAAATTCAAATGTCAACAAGATTGTAAAGAAGTCAGTATCTATGGTGACATCAGTAATTCCATTTTTGTCAACATGGACGTCACAGTTTAATTTCACCTGAAAGACCCCTGATAACCGCTACATATAACGTTTAATTTCACTTGCTATTCTTAAATTTTATAACTAAATAAAAATATAAAGTTGCATCATTTATGGCGTAGGCGAGATATCCGTCTAGCAACAAAAGGACAGGTTGACTGTGCAGCAGTTCGCTCCATCCTACTTTATGGCAGTGAAACATGGCCGATAAGAGTAGAGGATATTCGTAGGCTACTAGTATTCGATCATAGGTGACTTCGAAGCATTGTTCGTATATCCTGGGACCACCGAGTAAGTAATGCAGATGTTAGGAAGCGGGTATTAGGTAAGGATGACAAATGAATTGACGAACTATTGAAACTTCACCAGTTGAGATGACTGGAACATGTGTTACTTATGCCCAACCACCGATTGCCCCGACGTGCAATGTTTTATGGTGTAGGAGTAGGTTGGAGGAAAGCTAGGGGTGGCCAGACCAAAACGTGGCACAAATCCATGAAGTCACTGACAATTGGTCCGAGCCGTGTTGGTAGGTGTAGACTACCTGATTGGGATTCGCGAGACGATAGCAATCGATGGTTAGAGATCTTGAATGACATGGCTCAAAATCGTTTGCAATGGCGAAGGTACATTCACTCTTTGTGTTCTACCAAATTCTAATCTTCTGAATTCCTCATGTCTTTATCTTTTTCTCTTTCCAAATTTATTTCACTGGATTATATTGCTTGAATGACATCTTCAAACCCTAATCTTTCGGATTACTGCTTATACTCTTACCACTTCTACCACAATTAGATTTGAATTGACAATTGTGTAGTGTAGTGCTTCGTTAACCGATCGTCTCGATAACCGTTATTATATCAATCTGAACGGTGTATAATATCAGGAGACAAAGGGAAGTGACAACTACATTTTTATTGACAAATAACATAGGCTAGAATGCAGTAAGCACATGAGTAAATGTTAGCGAGCGAAGAAAAAACAACATACATGGGAGATGGCTGGTAAGCCAACTCGTTATAAGCAAGCATTAATCAACATTTATAGTCAGACTAAAATGAATGACAGACATGTGATAGGTAGGATAAGAAGTGTGCATACACATACGCTCATATAAAAAAAATAGTCAAGGTCAATAAGCGAATAATTAACAAGATCAAAATATGACTCATAACGTTATAGGTGAATTGGCTTGTCCAGAAACTAGAATAAGCTATGTAGGTGTAATATAGTACACGACGTTACACTACTCCCCACAACTGCATCTCTGTGTTAATGTGGTATAAAAACTCGAACTGATGTACATACTTACGAAGTAATACGTTGAGACTGACTGACTGACTGAAATTTTATAACTTCTTTTTTGACTTTCAGGTTTGTACACATCATTAGCACAGTGAAATGAAATTATCGGAGTGAGCCCCAATGTAGTAGACACAGTAACATACTAGTGGTAACAGAAAAGATTAGACGTCCGAGTTATATTTCCAGAAGGAAACATAAACTAGTGAAATAATAATGGAAGTTTTTGGGGAGTTTAAAAACTTTGGTTCTTAGAGTAAACAAAAAGTGAATCAATCTGCTCCATTGCGAACTATTCATAGTCATGTTATTGAAAGGCCGCAACCACTGGTTGAGATAATCGCTTGGACACCATCCAGGTAGTACACACTACATGCCTCAGTTCAGCAGTCGGAGGCTCTATGAATTGATGTCATTTTTCGGTTTTTCTGTCCCTAGCTCAACCCCATCCTACTCCTACACCAGACAATATTGCCGGTTGATATAGTCGTTGGATAGGTATTAGTAAAACATGCCCCAACCATCGAAGTCCATTAACATTCACCACCTTGTCAGCTGGTTTTTCATACCTAACTAACACTCTGCGTCTAACCTCAGAATTACTGAATTACACAATATACGAGTAATACTTCGAAGACACATATGGGATAATATTAGTAACCTACGAATATCCTCCATTTTTAAAGGTTGTGTTTTATACCTGTAAAGTAGGAGAGAGCGAATTGCTGCACAGTAAACTCATCCTTGAGTTGATAAAACAGATATCCCGTATATTGACGAAAGTGACAGGTTTGTATGTAGTAATAATACCTATGTACATGGTTCCGCGGTTGAATTGATTTGCAAATTCAATTATTCCAGCTGTCACTGTGTTCTCCTCAGTTTGGATACTTGTGTATAAACGACTCCTAGCCATACCGAATTCCATTATTTCTGGCCTTTCGGAATCGGTGCCGGGATTTTGTCTGAAACCAACTTTTCATGGCTGATGAAACTCTAAATATAAGTAAAGTTATAAATATACTCATCTACCTCACTTCCTATCCTGAGTTTCAGGCTTGATTAGACCCGTTCTTGAAGCGGAATTTCGCATTGGGATAGAGGAAGATATTCCTCTCAAAGAATTGAGAAGACCTTTTTCAGCGTCTTCACCAAATGAAATCATCTTATACGCTTTTTCTACGTCTTTAAGCGAACCTCTTGGTGGATCAACCTATGAGATGTTGGACGATGTGAGTGTTATCTCTAAAATAATGTCTATGATAAAGTTAAACAATAATGGAGAGAGCATACAGACTTGAAGACTGAATAAGATTGTTAATTCCTATGCGATTTCACCACAAGCTCTAGCTCGACTAGTGGTTTTCGAGTGGAAGCCTGTACAAGGTCAATGTAGTTTTTTGGTACCCTTTACAATTGTAGACATTGCCATAAAAGCTGTTAATCCACGGAGTCCAATCCTGTATTAAGGTTGAGAAAAACAGCTGTTGTTCAGAGTTGACAGGTACGTTTGTGCCTCGGACGTTGAGGAATTGTGTATGTTTGGGCTACTTATATCGAGGTCTGGAAAAGGGTTTAGGTCTCCAAGTCCACTCTTCCGAAGTCCATGTTAGGGATTGGATGATTATTGAGAGTAGTATTTTAGATAGATCTCATGAAAGTTGCTGCCCTTTCCTACATTCTAAAACGGTTCGCGATAGAGACAAATCAGATGGAATTACACCCAGTTCATAGACTCTGGCTAATAGCCTGGCCAAATAAACAGCGAAAACTGGACCACTAACCCTAAACACCGGTAGGGTTAAATCATCAGGGCTTGCTGCTTTGTTTCGTCATAAGATCACATTTAATCTATTCATCCTCTCTGAGGATTGATGGGCTTAGGCCAAGTCCTCAATTTTTTAAGAATAGCTACCTAATACTTGTCAGCCCTTAACCCATCTGCACATTAAACTCATAATTACTGTGTTGCAATTGACCAATCTTCTGCATGGTAGTGTGAAGGCTGTTGGTTCAGGGAACTATAATGGTCTAGGACGAGGTCACTCATTTAAACTGATAATATACAAAACCGAAATTCCGTCAAATTCACTGGTAGTGGTGCGTCTGATCGATTATCATGATTTCATATGAAGTTCTCAAAAGTTCAGAGCTGTTCTGTAACACTAAGGGTGGGGAACAAAGAAAAGAATAAGTTTATGCCGACCGATTTCACAAATTTTGTATTTGAACGGTTTAGTGGCCTTTAGACATTACTAAATACCTAGAGCCATACCGACAAAACATGAAGCAGGCGCAAAGAAATAAAGTTCATCGCATTGATATTGGGTATATTGAATATAAGGGAGGACATTTGACAGGTCTAGGTCATTTGTACTGTCGCAGGTTGGCCTTGCTAAATGTCGACTGCCAGTAGTTTCAATTTGTATCCTGTCTTGCGGGTTGAACACATTTGAGCAGAAGATCGCTGGCTTTAATTTTTGATCAAATACCTAACTGTGACAGTAGCTTGTACGTTACACGTGACTGCGCATATATTGGGTGGTGTTTTTAGGAATAGCACACTTTCGGCCACATACTTTAAACTAAACTGAGAATGTCTTATGCATATCTGTTCAAATATATTATAATTGGGGACACTGGTATGTTGTGTACGTGAAAATTACCTCGTTAGCTGTTGGTAAATCATGTTTGCTTCTCCAATTTACGGACCAACGGTTCCAACCTGTATATGATTTAACGATTGGGGTAGAGTTTGGCGCTCGAATGGTGAATATTGGTGACAAGCAAATAAAACTTCAAGTTTGGGACACGGTTAGTTTCCTTTTGAAGCCATACTTATCCGAGCTTTTATTAAGTAATCAATACACTCCCTCGGAAACAAACTGAAACAAAGGTACAGCCTAAAATTGGTGAGACGATAACTTATGGACGACCTTTTAGGGACGTTGAAGTGAATTTTAGAATATTCGCTTACTTACTAGGGCGAAATGAGGGTTATAAAGCATTGTGAAGAATAAAGATTATGATTTACAGTTGATGGTAAGGGTTAAGATTTATATTCATAGTTTTCTCTACGAACTGACATCAGCTTATGTGTCAAAAACTATTGAGGTAAGTGAATTTCAGGCCGAAATCCGAGACCTATTACCCTAAATTTTATTGGTTCGTCCATCAATTGTAATTAAACTGTAAGATCGTTTGGCTAAACCTAGGCATTTATGACAGCTCTAATCCTACTGAAGTATTTTTCGTGTAAGCACGTAAGCTCCAAAGCTGGTACTTATGTAGTGGTAGGTGGGTCATGGGACTTTTTCTGATTAGTTTTACCTAAATTAGTTAGTCACCAATATATCATTTTAAGCTTCGCTGTATAAAAGTCTCTATTTTAAGAAGTATTTATAACCAATCAGTTTCATTTAGAATTACCTGACGTCCAAAATCTGGGCTTTAGTGGGTCAATGCTGTAGTCCATTTTGTAGTTCTTTTGATTTAGTAAAACTGCAATTTACCATGTAAATAATATCCTAGTACTTTGAGACTGTTCACCGTTCGTGACAAGGGACTTCCACTTCTCATCCTGATCGACTAATTACATTTGTATGTTAAATATGAAGCCTGCTATTCACCTTCGATTGTATTTTCATCTGCGTTCAGTAACTGGTACCAGTGATATTTCTCTTTTTATAATAACAAGTGCCCTAGTACGGCTGAGAGTGGGGAGGGCCCGCCCTCTGTCGAAATGCTCTCACACGACCACGCGTACACAGCCTCTACCAGGGAAGTCCTACTCACTGCCTTCTCGTGGCGGGGGTGTTGATTACACAATCGAGAGGACGAAAAGCAAATGTCCGGCGCTTCAACCGGGTTGGTGGACAGCGAAAGTTCACCCAGGGGAGTTGGAAAACCCTGATTCAAACCAATGGTGTACATGGGCTCTAGGATCCTGAGGGAACAAATGACGTATGAACCAATTGTTGGTCACCGGCTAACATGGGACTGCATCTCCTCACGATGCTCCACTGCCTTGTGGGTTAGACCTTTAGGTCAAAGGCTCGGGGTGTGGCCCCTTAAGAAACCACCTACTTCGGTCTGGGCATCCGAGCAGTATCATAGTCCTTACACAATCAAATGAAATGACAATTTTTTGTGCTGCGCATATATATCTGGTGCCCCCTTGTACCAATATTTATGTGGTCAAATAAATAAACATTAGGTTTATGGCATTATATCTATTGTACTAATTGCTACTGATTGGCTCAACTTTATTCTTGTTATTTAAATGGTCTCAATACCAACCTCGAACACTGTATATTTTATAAATGTCGAGCTGTAATTATGAAATAACTTGGACTTAAAACACTTCGTTGTGTCCCTAAATAGTGTACTTTACCTATATATTATGTGCGAAAATAAGTCCCAACTGACGTTAACTATTGATAAAAATTAATTTTGAGATTATTTCGTATCAATTAGTTATTTTCTACAACAAAATTTCTGCAGTCGTTCACATTCTTAAACAGTCTATTACTGTATATTCATCTTAACGACTGTCTTCGAAGTAAGTTTGTGGGCTCTTAAACCTCATGAGTACATTCGTACTAAAACATTAGTGTCGTGTTGATGGTCATTGTTTAAGTAAAGACTAGTTATTTGCTTAGATATGTACTCAATATTCTACATTTAAAGTTAATTAGCCGTCTATTTAGATTTCTATCTAATCACACTAATTCCAGAAACTTCAGTTCATCTTCACTACATTTTATTTACCGTTACTTTAATTATTGTGCAGGCTGGGCAAGAAAGTTTCCGTTCCATAACTAGGTCGTATTATCGGGGTGCGGCAGGTGCTCTTCTAGTTTACGATGTTACCAGGTTTGTTATAAAACCCGTGATTTTTAAATTTCCTCACTTCCCCACTAACTTATTGTAAATATTATTTGAAAGCAATAACTGCATTTATTTTGATACGTTTTCCCTTTATATCGACTCAGTATGAAGAACTAGAACGTCCTAGGCACTTCAACGTCACTGTAGATATTGGTGCTTATTTTTTTCTTAGCTAGATTTGTAAATGGCAAATCGAATGTCACGTTTCTTAGCTGTTATTTCAGTTTAGTAGACAGTTGAGTGTGGGCATTTATCAAGTTTACTTAGCTTTAAAGGCCATCGTTAATATATCATAATGGATCAGAAATGAAACGATTAGTGTGGCTTAATTGAATTTAAATGTTACTAAAATGATAAAATAAACTTTCGTTCAATTCAACGGACTTAGTAAAAGTTATTTTTACTTGTATTGACTGATAAATTGCTTAAACTATTACTACTGAGACCAAGCCAACCGTTTATAGGTTTACCTCAATAATCATAGTAATTCAGGCACAAGAAAGATGAATAATTTTAACGATTCATTGAAGTTTTCGGGTTACAGCTTATGGTTTTCGCTTGATGTAACTCATATATCAAGTAAGTTTTTGAGTACATCATTTACCAACACGTTTAGGGGCTAATGACATCACCTGATTATCCAAATCAAAGTAGCTGAAATGGGGTTTGGACCTACAACTGAACTTTCACCACGAAATCACTACCCCATAACTTGATACCACCAAATCTATCAGCAGCCTCAGCTTACGTCTTGTCATGTTGCTGAGTTCTACTTTCAGTCTTTCCCAGTAACTGTAGGTGTAAAATTCAATACAGAAACACTCTTGTTCTTTAAGTTCTGTGTAAAAACTGATTTTTAGTTTAGGCTAACCTCCCTCTTCCAAGTTCTGAAATGTTTACCAGCGAAGTGCATGTTAATGTGGTGAGTCCAAATTCGTACACTCCACTTAGATCTTTTACTTAGATAGCTTCAGGTTCAATACTGATCTTTCGTCATTATAGTTGTAATACCCAGCTATAAATTTTATCTTCTGTTTTGACGTTGATATCTGTATCTTCGTTTTATTAATCAATGTTGCATAAGTTCAAGGTCTATGAAAGTCAATTTATTGAGTAAAATGCTTGTTCCACAGTTATTAAATATTAGTCCTAATCTAATATGTTGAATAACTTTACTTTTCTCTACAGTATTTTGTAAAATCAATCGGTCATATTTTATGCTGATTTCATTTCAATGCTTGATGTTTATTAGGCGTGATACATTCAACCATTTGGCATCCTGGTTACAAGATGCTCGGCAGCATGCAAGCCCAAATATGGTTATTACATTGGTTGGAAATAAGTGTGATTTGGATGCTCGACGAGAGGTTAAACAGGAAGAAGCTGAAGCATTTGCACGAGAGAATAATTTATTATTTGTAGAAACATCAGCTAAAACCGGAGTAAATGTAGAACAAGCTTTTGCTACTACCGCACGCGCTATCTATGAACGTTTACAACTAGGTCTTTTAGATATCAATAATGATGTAGGTGTCTTTTGTTTTGAAAGAAAGTTTTCATTTTCAATACCTTATTTAGGTTTGTATAAAGATATTTTATTCATTAGTTTTGGCCATTATAAAAATAACTAACTAATTAACCTTCATCGGTTAAACATGGTCTGTTGTATAAAAGCAGTCTTCCTTAAACCTGTGGTTATTCAGAGGTTGTTATTTTGACGTAAGTTTTCTTGACCCTCAAATATTCTACTGTGAAGTAGAATGAAAGTTAAATTTTGAGTAAACGGACTCTGACAAAATTCCAAATACTTTCTTGTTATATTTGTATCTTCACAAAGTATCACTTATCATGAAAATTCTATATCTCAGTCTCCATATCACCAAGCATCGCAAGTCCAATTTATACGTATTAAATCCGCTTGAAATTCCTTGTAGGTCATTCCCAGGGAGTCGAAGATTGGTAGGGCTTTTTGTGTGGCAAGTATCAGGATTACCACCCAACTGTTCAAACCAAATAAGGTGAAGGGGAGTTGGAACCTGCCGCATCATTTCTGAAGATCAATGTTTTAAACACTCGACCATTCCGAACTTGTCTTTTATAATCTATTTTTCTTTTGCTTGAATGCACGTGTTAATCCTTTCAGAAATGACATGCCCACGTATCAGCTATTATCTTGACTTCCAAAAAAATTAATTAGTGAATTAATTTCATAGTGCCGTTGAATTTATATCGAACAATTTGGTGAAAATAAGAAGTTTCCAATTATCTCCACACTACATCCTTAGGCCTGTTACCTCTTTGGGGCACAGGTCACTGATCGGAAATCTCCAACAAAGTCATGACTTCTCCTTTCTAGTTGTGGCCAAGTACTATTTATTGTCTTGACGTCTACCTCCGATTCTCGACACCATGTGTCCTTTTTTTACGTCTTTTCCATTTCCCTAGGACTCCACGTTCCGAGTTCCGACCGTTGCTGCTACCTGGACGTGGTGGTCGGGCTTGCCTATCGTGATGAACCGATCGAGCTATACTGGCCGGAACAACCGTTACTCAAGGTCCTACCATGCCAGACAGGTCGATTGAAAAGCGGTATGACTCAAAGCAGTAAACCCAAGGTCCGAAGTCAAGACCGTACTGCTGACTGTACAGATGTTTGACGGCAGTGAAGTTTCCTTCACACAACTAGCATAACAGCGATGGTGCCTTCCCACAAGGAGGGTTAGGTGAGGTTAGAAAAGGTCGACCCTAAAAATGCACATCTCGCTTTATTTCATGGATATCCGTCTCTAGCGGTAAGGTTCCAATAAGTACGGGGCTAACACGAAAACTACTCACAAAAAGGTGTGTCACCGATCTCAAGCAGTTGTCCCTTGGGCACTGCGATAAACTCAAATAGACCATATTGCCATCAGTCATCGTTGGAGAGGCTCGATGGAAGACTGTCGCTCGTTCTGGAATACCTATTTGGACTTTGATCATGCTCTAATACAAGCACGCATTTGTTTGCGCTTCACTGGACGTGGAAAACCCACACTAAGAAGACCCATTAGGATTGAACTGGAGGATGAGAAAACCAAAAGTAGATTCTAGGAACAACTGAGGTCAAATCTAGGCAGTTCTGAAAATGAGGCTGAACCAGATGTTACTTCGAAAGATATACGAACAGCTGTGGAAACAGCAGTAACATCTATTAGTAATTTAAACCAAAAGGTTATAAAAACCAATGGATTTTTACTAAGTCTATTGAACTAATGGGTTCTCGTAAACTCATCAGGCTCTGAACATGATGAAGAGCAAAAACAAATAAGATCTAGGTTAACCAAAAATCTAAAGAACGACTATGAGTAATGATGGGCAACAAAAGCAAAAGAGATGAAAAAGGCGGGGGATGAAGGTAACACCAGACAACTCTTCAGAGTAGTAAAAGAAACCGGCATTAAGAAGTCAAGTGTACGCGAGACAATCTCAGAAAGGATGAGACTATCATCTGCTCTCAGCCCAGACGTTTAGAACGATGAACGGAACACTTTAGGGAGCAGTTCGGCTTACCTTCAGCTACTGCACAACTACCCACCATTCCCCAACAGCCTGAATGGAACATTGAAGTTCCAAAAGCCAGATGAATTAGCTCCATCTTGGTGTGCCAATGAGGTGTAGCAACTTGAACCGATGCATATATGTGCATGATCCTACGTTTTAGCTGACTTAGCAAGTTAGGGTTGGCCTTATGATAGGGGCTAACAGTTTTCTCAAAGTGTGTCCAGTCCACCTCCAGTGTCATTTCCTAATTTTCTTAACTAGTAGCTGGAATGTTCTCTGACAGAGTAAGTTATTGTAGATAGTCTCTGACCAATAAATATCTTAAGTATCTTACGCAGACAGCTGTTTGTAAATTTCTACAAATTTTACGTGGTGAGTGTGGTAGTTCTTTACGTCTCAGCTTCGTACAATAAGATTGTTCGACGTTAGTCCTAAGAATGCTGACTTTGACCTTGGTTGAAGAGAGCCATTCGTAAAACTGGTATTTGGTTTTTATGGAGTTAGTAATGGCCCTACCAAAGTAGATGGCAAAGCTTAAATCTGTCACGTTATTGTATTCTGAAGATAAAGAGAAACCGTATCCTAGTAGTGTTAGTATAAAGTATTTCGATGGAAGTATCTGTCAATTGTGCTGTTGATATCTTCTAATACTTTTATATCGCTCATCAACAGGTTTTTTGCAATGAGTTGTATGTTTACCTCGGTCTTTGAACCTTCAGTAAACCTCCTTCTGGATTCAGTAAGGAATACGCCATAAGAAACATTTACTTGGATTCATAAACTGCAACAAACTTTTTTCATGCATGCATCCATAACCCGACCGTTGCTGCTACCTTGACGTGGTGGTCGGGCTTGCCTATCGTGATAAAGCAATCGAGCTATGCTGGCTGGAACAATCGTTCCTCGAGGTCCTACCATGCTAGACAGGTCGGTTGAAGAGCGGTAAGACTAAAAGCAGCAATCCCAAGGTCCGAAGGCGAAGTCGTACTGCCGACTGTACAGAGGTGTGACGGCAGTGAAGTTTCCTTCACACAACCAGCATAACAGCGATGCTGTTTTCCCACAAGGAGGGGTGGGGTTAGAAAAGGTCGACCCTAAAAATGCACACCTTGCCTTATCCCACGGATTTCCGTCTTCGGTGGTAAGGTCCTTTGAAGGACGGAGCTAACACGTCAAAAATTCCCAACAAAAAGGCCGTGCGTGACCGGCCCCAGGCAGTTGTCCCTTGGGCACTGTGGTCACGCCCTCAGGTCGTTAAGACCAAAACTAATCCAACTTCTTTTTCAGGTCCCTCAAGAAATACCCTTCCACAGTGTGGGCAGCCGGGAAGTTATATTAGCCCTCATACCCGTAACAGCACAGGAGATCAAGTTGGTCACTTTCAAATCCTTCCTACACCTTCTAATAACTCTCTTATCCCCACGACTAACCCTTCCCACTTCCTTTTATCTCCTCGCATCGCTAGGGCAAACGATTCGAGTACACGGAACGTTATTCCTGGTCTCCTAAAACTACGCTCTAAACTACATATAGAAACTTTTAATGTCCGAACATTGTGCCAAATAGGACAACAGGCTTCCTTAGCTAGGACTCTAGAATCTTACACCATCGATGTGTGCTGCGTCTCCGAAACGCGCATACAAGATCCGAGTAGTGTTATTCATTTGACCTCACCTAATCAAAATAAAGAACCATCTCGATACACGCTTCGTGTATCTGGAAGCCCTGATGCTGCTTCCCGTGGCCTCGCTGGAGTAGGTATAACATTAAGTCCTAGAGCAGAACTAACTCTTTTAGACTGGATCCCAGTAGATAGTCGTCTATGTGTTGTCCGACTAAACGGATCAGTAAAGGACTCGGAAAGATAGGGAAACTCGTCGTTGCCTCTTCGTCGTCTCTGTCTACTCTCCCACTGACTGCAGCTCAGACGATATAAAAGATGAGTTCTACAGGAAACCTGACCTTCTCTGAAAAGCTTGGCGTTCTGATGTAGTAATAGTGGCTGGTGACCTTAATGCTCAAGTAGGTAAACTAAGTGAAAAACAAAGACACCTGGGAGGATCAAATGGTGTCGTGGCTAGAAGAACAGATAATGGCGACCGTCTGTTGCAGCTGTGCTCAGATAACCGCCTATTTCTTGCAAATACTAACTTTAAGCATAAGGAAAAACATGGTGACCCCCGAATTCGTCCCAACGTTGGACACAATTAGATCACATCGCTATCAGCCACCGATGGAGGGGCTCGATAGAAGACTGTCGCTCATTCTGGAGCACATGTTTAGACTCAGATCATGCTCTAGTGAGAGCACGTATCTGTCTGTGTCTTACTGCACGTAGGAAAGACACTGCAGGGAAGACTCTAAGGGTTCTACTTAATGATAGGCAAGCTAAGAATATATTTCAGGAACAACTGGAAAAACAGTTAGATAGACATGTAAGTTGTGCCCACCCCGAAGCAGCGTGGAATGACATCCGAAAATCTGTGGAAACAGCTGTGATATCCGCTAGTAAGGAAAGCCATAAGGTCAGGGAGAAACAATAGATCTCGGCAGCATCTACCGCACTGGTATATGCTCGAAAACTCATCCCACCTGGCTCTGAACATAACGAAGAGCGGAGTCAGCTTAAGTGAAGGTTAATAAGATGCCTACGCAAAGATGGTGAACAGTGGTGGGTAGCGAAAGCAAGAGAGATGGAAGAGGCATCGGCAATAGGTAACAGCAGACAGCTATTCAAACTTATTAAAGGAACCGGCATTAGGAACCCAACTATCAGCAAAACTATCTCAGATAAAGATGGACATGTCATTCATTCTCAATCCAGGAGATTGGATCGATGGGCAGAACACTTTAGGGATCAGTTCAACTGGCCTTCAGCCACGCTTCAGTTACCCACAATCCCCAGTCGTCCTGAATGGCAAATTGAGGTAAGTCCTCCAACTCTCCACTAGGTTGAAAAAGCTATAGGAAATCTAAAGCGAGAGAGAGCTCCAGGCCCTGACATGTTTACCCCTGAGATTTTTAAGGATGGTGGTCCAGTACTAGCAACGAGATTGACTGATGTCTTAGGTAGAATCTGGGAACTGGACGTAATTCCATCTGACTGGTCCCAATCACTGATTGTGCCAGTCTATAAGAAAGGACAAAAGTCCTCTTGTGACAATCACAGAGGAATCAGTTTGACTAATATAGTGTCTAAAATATTATCTTCAATAATACTTCGACGCCTAACGAAAGCTCGTGAAGAGCATACTAGAGAAAACCAAGCTGGTTTTCGACCTGGACGTGGTTGTATAGACCAGATATTCACTCTACGTCAGGTCCTAGAACATAGACACACATTGAGACGCCCCACAATAGTAGCAGTTTTTGATCTTAAGGCGGCACTTGACTCCGTTGATCGTGAGGTTCTATGGCAGTGTTTGTCAGTGAAAGGAGTACCAAAGAAGTACATTAATCTTATAAAGGCTCTCTACTCGGACACAACTGGTAGAGTTAGAGCCTATGACGAACTGTCATCAGAATTGGTTACCTCAAGTGGTGTTGGTCAGGGCTCTCCACTCTCCCCATTCTTGTTTAACTTTGTCGTTGACATGCCTTTAGCGATAACATTTTCATCATCTAAATTTCCAGTTGAACTTTTACCGGGAGACTCACTTGTTGACTTAGAATACACCGACGACATAGTTTTATTCGGTGAAGACGCTGACAAAATGCAGAGTCTTCTGACCACTATAAGCAACAATGCAGGCATGTTCGGGATGCGATTCTCTCCCTCGAAGTGCAAATTGTTACTTCAGGATTGGGTTGCATCGACACCTGAACTAATGATAGGGAGTTAAGTAGTTGAGCGTGTAGACCACTTCACTTATCTTGGGAGTCTCATCAGCCCTTGTGGTCTGGTGTGTGACGAAATCTCAGCACGGATACAGAAGGCTCGTCCAGCTTTCGCCAACTTGCGTCACTTATGGCGTAGGCGAGATATCCGTCTAGCAACAAAAGGACAGGTTTACTGTGCAGCAGTCCGTTCCGTCCTACTTTATGGCAGTGAAACATGGCCGATAAGAGTAGAGAATTTTTGTAGGCTACTAGTATTCGATCATATGTGACTTCGAAGCATTGTTCGTATATCCTGGGTTCACCGAGTAAGTAATGCAGATGTTAGGAAACGGGTACTAGGTAAGGATGGCAAATCGATTGATGAAGTAGTGAAACTTCATCAGTTGAGATGGCTGGGACACGTGTTACGTATGCCCAACCACCATGAAGTCACTGGGAGGTGGACTGAGCCGTGTTCGTAGGTGTAGACTACCTGGTTGGGATTCGCGAGATTATAACAACCGATGGTTGGAGACCTTGAATGACATGGCTCAAAATCGTTTGCAATGGCGAAGGTGCATACACTGTTTGTGTTCTACCAAATTCTAATCTTCTGAATACTTCATGTCCGTATCCTTTTTCTCTTTCCAAATTTATTTCACTGTATTATACTCCTTCAATAACATCTTCAAACCCTTATCTTTCACATAATACTTATACTCTTACTACTTCTACCACTATGGGATTTGAACCGACAGCTGCATCTCTGTGCTAATGTGGTATGGCAACTCGAACTGATGTACGTACGTACGAAGTTCTACGTTGTAACTGACTGACTGCATAACTAGTGTTCTTGCTTGTTGGCTTCCGATAAGACACTATTTTTCCCACTTACAAGAATAATTTTCAGTTTTAATGATTTTCAATTATAAGTAGACTTAATTTTGTTTAACAATCCAATTGTAACTAGCTTGCTAACTAACTTTTATTTCTAAAAAATTTTTCTTATCCCGTTTTATGGCCAGATATTTCTCCGTACTCGCCTAACAATATACTTGTTTTTTGTAACTTAGGCAAATGGCATAAAGTTAGGTCCCCAGCAAATAAATACTCGACAAACTGGTTCCTACGGTCCGGTTGGCTCAGATTCTGGAGGTAATCTAAGAAGGCGTTGTTGTTAGGTGATACCAAAGAAAGATCAATTTATGAAAAGATAGTAAAAGTTATAACTGCGATTAATTATTTTTATGTTAAGTTCAACCATTCTATGATTCTCATTCACTATTTTATTTCACTTATTTTGCTCTTTTTTATACCTTGTAATTTCATGTGCTTTATTTGTATCCCATTGTTTTGAATGAATACTTTTATTGTCTATTTGTCTGTACGTTGTTGTTTGACAACTTCTCTGTACTTTATATTTCTTGTTTTGACTTTATTCACTATTCTCGATCAATTAGCCGTCTATATTATCTCTATAAATACTTTATAAAAGAATGCAGATATTTATTCATTCCAAATGAAAATCCAAATTCTAATCATGCAACATTACTGTTACAAAATATAGCTATACAATGATACATGCTGTGAAAACACATTCCTTCATTTCCTCCTCAAGAAGCAAGAAGTTTATCATCTTGCCTTCGCATTATTTAATTTTACTGTCGTTACTTGTTAACTTTTATTTTCATCCTGTGTTTGTGTATCCCGATGTACGGAAATGTTGTTCCTGACATTTTTTTAGCTACCAAATGTGTATCTTTCATAGACAGTTTTGTAAAACAAAATTAATTGTTTTGTGTCGAATTTTCTCCACACACACTTTTGTGGTTGTATTCTTATTTGTTTAACTGTTGAACCGCTAGCAATAATCATTTTATTGAAATGTGCTCAAGTGTGTATAAAAATTTCTATCGTAATTGAGAGGTTCTTTTATAAATATTCTTTTTATCAGATATCAGAATAAACCTTATTACTCGTTTAATTCTTCTCATGAGCTACTCATTTTAGCTTGTACTTTACGTCAGATGATCTTTAATTGATAAAGATAATCTAAAGGATTTTTCTTATTAAGCCATATTTATAACATTCACGTTTATTACTTCACTATGCTCCCGTAAGCCAGATTTATTTGCAATTATTTGGAAAACATTTTGAGCATTGATACGATGTTTGCTTTCTAGTACCTTTATCCTATTGATATGATTTGATAACAATATAAAATTAGGTAATATTAATCAGAATGTTCTTGTGAGTGCTTAGAGACGATAGATAACACGCCTTAAATGCCATTATACTTCCATGGATGCATAATTTCAGACAGTGCAAGTTATTTTCACGATTTATGTAAACAAATATTACAAGTTCTCCGTGAAGTTTTGTCTTATTATTCAAACACCATGATTCTAAGTACAATTAGATTAATTATTCTACTGTTAATAATTGTTTTATTTAAACAGACTCAGTAATGATGTATGTAATCTATAAACATTTTGATTTATATTTCAAGTATAGATTCTTATATGACGAAGCTAATGTTTCTATGATGATTCTTCAAATGTAATTTGTATCATAATAGACATATTTGGTTGTACGATTCAGTTGAACTATCTAGTTAATTTAGCTCAATATGTTACTATACTAAAGAGACGTGTTTTAAGATAGTGAAATCATCTCCAATATGATAATGTTCCTAGTACTGATATCAAATGGTTGATTTTTCTCAGGTAAGAACTTAGTTGTTAGACGCGTACAAACAACCACAATAACTAGAGGATGTGAATTAATACTAAATTTCCCTAACGATTCTTGCGCCCTTTTATTTGTATTTCACAAGGAACGTTTTCATCGAAATATGTTTTTTTTTAAAAATGTAGTTGTGAATTCAATGTGGTGTTAATTCCAAAAGTGTGTTTTCAGTTAACGTATCTGGAGATCGTAAAATTTATGCTTAATGACGCCGGTGTCAGTTTTTAAGTAAGTTATCAGATTGAAATAATTTACTACTGTTTATTTATAAGCATGTGTCTGTTTTGGTTTTGGGTCAGAGGCTTCAATAAAGCATTAAATAAGCTTAAAGAGTGGTATAGTCCTTGACTGATATACTAATCACAGTACTATGTATTGGTAATGAAAACAAACAGAAACTAATTGGGATTTCTGCACATACCAATCAATAGTATGTATCATGCATATGTTCATTAGAAATAATGTTGTTAATAATATCCTAGTTAGCTTACACTAATCGGTCTAAAATTTCTAGTTCTCAAAACTAACTTCGAAAGATGTCGTATTTAGACACTTTTCTGAATGAATCCTATCTCGGACAACTTGTCATAATAACAATTGTCTTTTAGAGATTTTCTCCTGTTAATAACAACAGATTGAACTTAAACGTGTTAAAGATGGTTCTTTAATAAACTAAATTGGTATGGAGCCTGATGCTCTGTTGAACGAAAATGCTCCTAATTAAAAGTTATTATCTGAATATCTATGACTTACAAATCATGTTCAGTCACGGATATCAGAAACCAAAAACGCTTACTATTTCATATGTAAACTTGCTTATCGAAATTTTACCTAGTAAGTTATTGATATCACAAGCCTACTCGGTGTTTAAGTGTGGATTATGTACACTTGCTTATAAAATAAATTTGTCTCGTTCACAATTACTGTTAACGATTATGTTGGTTAGTATTGTCGTTAAATCATATTGAATGTCCAACTGAAATTGATAAGGTCACATTAAGTAATTTTAACCACAATATACTTCTGTATGTTGTTATCTAGATTGTCAATGAACTTGATACAATTGTGTGTGCTCATGTACGCCCGTCGCTAAATCCAATGCATATAATTTACTGTCACGTTAACAAACATGACAATTGAACTGCGATCAGATTTTAACCCTACATTATCCAGCATTAATAATTGGATTTGGATAATTTTAGAGTTCTTTGTTTTATTATATCGGTTTCTACGTTCGGGACAATGACCAAGTTGAAAGAATATAGTATTTTATTACTCATTTATTTTACAAATGTTGAACTTAGTTATTTGCTCTAAACATGATAAACTTGAGTCAGTAGAGACTGGTCCTATATATATATATATATATATATATATATATATATATATATATATATATATATATATATATATGGAGTTTGTAACATTTAAAATCAACTGCATTATGTATGAACACAAGGAATACAATATGATCTACCCTGACTATTATCATAACATGTAGGCCAGCTAGAGAAGAGTTGAGGAGGCAATAACTTCAATCTGTTCGGAATCCAGAAACACAATTATAACGAATCTATCGTTGTAGACAGACTGTACAAGATTCAAGAAAGGAAAAAAAAGATAACATTCGACATCAGCAGAGAAAGCAAATCCATAGGTCGAATACATAGAAGCAAATAAGAGAATGGAGAGGAACATCGGAGCCGACAAGCGAAAATAACCGCAAGACCTAGCACTGACAACGGAAAAAGCTGTAAGAAGAAATACGGGACGAATATATGATACAACGAAGAAACTAGTATGAAAATATTGTAAACCAGAGGGACCACTTAGATTCAGGAAAAACTGAACAGGTGGGTGGATCAGGGTGAAGAGCTCTTGAATAGACTAGTACCAATGAACTCACCGGATGTCCAAGCATCACACACAGTAAACCACTCCATAGATCACACTCAACGATAATCGGGTAAATCAACAATCGAAAAGCAGCAAATGGACTAGACAACACGCCAGCTAAAGCATTGAAGTTTGATACAATGTTAACTACAAAGATGTTTCACGTCCTCTCCATAAAGATTTGGGAAGAATAACAAGTACATACAGACTGGGAAGAAGGATGACTCACCAATATACGGAAGAAGGGAGGTCTTAGTAATTGTACAAACTACATAAGTAACAAATTAATCTCAGTGACAAGCATAGTTTCCAACAGTGTTACTAAACTGAGTAAAAGATTCGGTAGATGTTTAACGTCAAAATCAACATGTTGAATCTTTTAAGGTTCGATCATATTTTGTCCAAATCACCACACTACGGATTATTGTTGAACGATTAATTGAATAGATCTCATTACTGAACATCAACTTCCTTGATTACTAGAAAACGCTCTACAGTGTGGATGGAAACAGCTTATGGAATCTCTTTCGACACCATGGAGTACGTGAGGAGATTTTCACCAACATACAGAACTCATACGGATGACTGTATTTCAGAGTCGTAGTACATGTTGGACAGGTCACAGGTTTATGACCATCAAGCCCAAAGAATATTGTCGGATACTAGTGTTCGACAATAGATGCCTTCTAAGCATTGTTCATGTCTTTTGGACCATTGGGTAAGGAATTACTGGGTTAGGAATAAGTTATTAAGTGGGGTTGGTGGGTCGATTGATGAGGAAGTAAATTTTCATTAACTGAGGTATTTGAAACGTGAGTTACCCATGCTCGACAACCACCTACCTCGACGGGCAACGTGGTCTGGTGTTGGAGTATGATGGAAGAAATCTAAGGGTGGCCAAATCCAAACATGCCACCAAACCATGAATGTATTGTCATGTGGATTGAGTCATGTTAACAAGTATAGACTACCTGGTTGGGGTGCTCGTGATTATCGTAATTAGTGGTTGGGGACTGTAAATGACATGACACAAAATCGTTTGCAATGGTCCAGGTATGTCCACTCTTTGTCTTCTCACAAATTCTAAGCTTCTGTATTTCCCATAATCATTTTGACTAATTGATAATTCCTTGAGTCAAATCTTCGTTTCTCAGTTTTTTCAATTACCACTAATACTGTTACAACTTCTCATACCGTATGATTTATCCTAACAACTCCATTTCGTTGTGCTAACGTTGTAAGGCAACTTGAATCGATGAACAGACGTACCAGGTTTTACGTTGTGTTTGACTGACTAACTGACTGTATTCCACTTGAAGACTGATGTTAGACAAGGACGCTTTCATACAACAGACCATGTTTACGTATAACCGATGAAGGTTAATTAGTTAGTTATTTTTATAATGGTCAAAACTAACTAATGAATAGAAAAACCTAAATAAGGTATTGAAAACGAAAAATTTCTTTCAAAACAACAGACACCTACATCATTATTGATATCTAAAAGACCTAGTTGTAAATGTTCATAGATGGCGCGTGAGGTAGTTGAAAGGGCTTAAATATATCGCTAAAAATATTCATACTCAATAAAAAATATTTTTTTTGAATCTGAACTTTCTGTAAACAGTACTGGGCTTTGTTACTGTTATAACTTGTGGCATTTGTACCCTGTTAATATGTCACATGATACGGTCGCCAATTAGAGTCACCGACTTTTTAACCAAACCAGTACGAGAGACCTGGACTTCATATTGGACCTTGAGATAGCAGCTTTTCGTCTAACCCAACTGATTAAGTCCAGAACGCAATTATCAGCCTCCGCTATATCCACATCATATATTTCAAACATACTTGGTTTATATACAAGCAAATTCAGACCACATCACACCATAAAATAGAAAGTAACATTTGTACAAGATCTAGCCAAAAGTGTCTGTGATTGTGAGAAACTGTGACTTGAGAATAGTAAATCATATAACAGTAACCAATAGGTCAAATAAAAGCTTATAATAGAAGGAATATAAATATATATATAGTTCAGTCTCTTCACAGTAATACAATAAAAATATATGTATGATATTAATCCATAAATAGTTCTCAGAAGTTACCCATAATTTAATCTTCACTCAGATACACTCAGTTACATTTTTACAAGCATTTTATCTCAACGTTGTTTTAGTAAATTTTACGTTGATTTAAGGAATACTTTAGTTTCAAATTTCATTGTTGTTGTGGGTGCGAATCCTTCGAAAAGAAATGACGTTGAGGTAATTTATTCAGAATTTCATTAGATATATTTATTTGTACATTAATGTATGGTTTCACTAAAACAGCAAAGTGAAGATGTATATCTGGACCGTGATAATATTTGTTTTATCTATTGTTTCTAATTATACACAATACAAATGTTTATATAAGTTACTTACAAAAAGATGTACATACATATATCATGTTCAAAAGTAAATATTATTTGAAATTGATGTTTAAAAAGTGTGATATCAAACAAATTAGGTTCAAAATGAATACTTATAGAATATATGGATCCTTAACATTTGATAGAGAACCGCATTTAGACAACAGTTTACTTGAAT